ATGCAATAAAATGTACCTCTCCTAAATTAATTCGAATTAATGTTCAAAGGTTATACGTTATTGTAGGGGGAATGTGATGGATTTTGGACCATTTTGGCAACTTTTCTGACAGCGTATTGATTTTCACGTATGACGTCCAATGGGCTTTGTTTCTATCACAATGAGTCCGGTTCACTCACAAAATTTCAGGAAAAATGGTCATGTGGCTCAAAAGAAAAGCTCTTTTGTCCCCTCGGTGCTGTCGTGTACTGTTAACTAATGATTGAGCGAAGTTATCTTCTTGGTTCGATAAGAGGAATACTATTTCGCGCTGGCGTGATGTTCGAGACGTTGCTGGAAAGAGATTGGTCGGAGTGGCGTCACAGCGAATAACTGCGGGCGCCAAAACCGGGAAGTAAATCTTATTTTAACATCACGTGCACCAACGTAGACATTTAAGCATAATACCATAAAAATATTAGGAAAATAGTAAACTACATCAGCAACAACGTGTTTAATTTTAGTACTGTATGTCGACAGCAAGATCAAGTTGTACTGTATCATGCCATGTGCTTTGACGTGGATAATATTGTCATCGATTGGCCAAACACATTTTTATTTTATGACCGGGATTTTGGAGATCCTAAATATACCTATTCCAAAAGTATGGTCAAGTACCACGGGGGAAAGATTTCCATCGTTACCAGTATCGGTCTCCTAGAGTTTATGTCTGGTCGCAAAGTTGCTCATGTCCTTGGTGTACCTCGCCGCACCATACGAACATGGCATAATCAGCGAGATGAGCTCTTATCGTATGAGCTTTCGTCGTACGATGGCGAGAAGACACGCAGGAAGATCGAGCCAGAAGGTGGATGCGAAGCATATCCCGATCCACCAGGTTTAGTCAGAGAATCGAACATATACTATCTACAGTACCTCATGAATCAAGCTAAATCAGCGAGAATGAATAATGTCCTACCTGGCGACCAAGAATACGACAGTAGACTACACCTCGCTCATCAAACTTCTTCAACGATTTTGCACTCGCCACGGATTATCCCGTCAACGACCTACCAAGATTAAGTTTAAACAAACCGTGCTGACGGAGGTTCACGTGAATTTCGCCAAGGAATTTCACAATGAAAACTACCCCCCACTTCGAGTGAGCCCAATCAGTCGAAAAAAGCGAGAGGGCAAATATTTATTAGTATTATATCCGTTAATTACCACTATGTGTCTCCCTTTCAATGAAATGTCCTGTACCCTTATTTTGCAAGCCAGGACAGTCCGAAGAAAAACATTTGGCGTGGTGATAGGGTAAGCAAGCGAAAGGTTAGCTGACCTTATCGAAGTAGTACATTTCGTGTGATGGGATCCCCATAATAATTGCGACAATACCTCTTATTCAGAATCCCTGAAGTGTCCATACATTCAGCCATACATTTTTATTCAAGAATATAGTGTCATATGCCAGTTCCACATTACAAGTGGAAAAGGCGAGCAACTTCCTTCTCGAACGACTTCTACCACCATTGTTCTCCAGAACTAGGCGCATGACTTATTGCAACGTGAGGAGCACGTTAGCAAGTGCATCGCCACCACAAAGTTCAAACGCAGCGTAGGTTGCATGAATGGCCTCACCCAAAGATCGACTGACCAACTTGTACTGAAGCGTTTGGATCGAGGCAAAGGAACTCAGATCCAAGACATTGAGATCTGGGCTGTTTGGTCGCTGACACCGCACAACAAAGGTCCACCCGTTTGTGGACACCCCTCGCAAGGTCAGCGTCGGTAAGGCCACCATGGGGTGTTGAATTGTCATGCTGGGGTACAACGCGTTGTTCGCTGTATGGAACTTCAACTTGATGGCTGGAATGACTCGAGTGATGACATACTTGCGGTAGACAGCGGCGTTCAAGTTCACCAAGGTTGGGACGAGCGATCCCGCCGGCCGGTTGCGCGAGCTGCGCACAGCAGGTAGGAACTCCACGATAGGCCATATTCCGATCTTTCCATCGACGTTGATGTCACGCTCTGGATCATGTCGAGGACGCGCCACCGCCGCGAGGAACATGACTTTGGGAATGAACCGCTTGCTGGACCACGCACGTTGTTCAGGCTCTTCCCCGGCGGTAAGGTACACCTTGCGTACGTTCTTGTCCGCATTGAACCACTTTTCATCAAGGTTCGCAACATCCCACATGTCGTCGAAATAATACACGTTGCTCCTGGTTTGTGTCGGATAGCAAGGGCTTGATGCGTGTCGATCGGCGTTGAAGCGTCCCAGCTTTCAAGGCGCGGTGGAGCGAGCCGAGCGGGATGCCGGTGCCTTCGGACATGTCACGCATCGTGGAGCGAAGCG